AGTTGCACAATAAAAAAGTGTCATACTAAATATATAATAATATAAATTTTCAACTACATTTCCTCATTAATTTTAGATTTTAAGAAAAATTAGCAAGCACCCGTATAATACACGGGCGTTGTACTAGTTATTAATTTATTTTGTAACATTTTTTAAAAGCGTCGCAATAATTTTGGTTATTATATTTATGTTGCAAGAAGTCCTTTTTCTTGTAGTGATTTATACTTTATAGTTATTGAGTCAAAATTTTAATTATAATTGTAGAAATGACTATTTATTTTGTCCCAATTATAAATTAAACTAGGGAGGAGAATGAAAAAACTTGTGTGTAAGGATTTGGAGGATCAATAATGCTCACCTACCGGGCACATATATACTACAAAAAAAGTGACATTAAGTAACACAAAATTGTAACATATTTTGAAGAAAGGATTTTATGTAACATGTATTTGTAGCATATTATACAATGCAATATTTAGGTAACACTTTTGTAGCATTTCATTAATATGTAGCATTTGTATGTATCATTTTTTTAAAAGGCAACACTTTACAAGTAACACTTATGGTATTTTTTAATGTAGCACAAAATATGCATCATTTTAATTAAATCACACTTCATGTAACATTTATTAATTACTTTGTAACACATTTTCACTCATTTATTAAAATATAATATACTAATTCTTTTTAAATAAAAAATATAACAAACATTGCAAAAAGATATAAGTTTTATGTGTATACTTTTAAAAAATGATAATATAATCAAATTGCCATATAATTTATAAAAATAAAAATAAAAAATGACAATTTTTTAAAGGAAATAGCCATTTAAGTATATAAAATACTACTTTACCCATTAACTCAATTTTTCATTTCCCCCATTTTGGGACGTGAGTCCCATTCCCTCCACCCCACCAATTCTTCATCCCCGCAAAAACTGTCGCTCGTCTTCTGGAAACCACCTGTTCAGCTCCTCTTCTCTCCGGTGAATCGACCCCGCCGACAATCCGTTGCTCCACTCCGGAGAATCGACCTCTGCCGCTGGCTCCTCGCTGCTCCTCTCCTCGAACCAACCTCCTCTAAATTAGGGTTTCAAAATCAGAAATCATTTGGAGGTAATAGAATTGACCTCTTTTTTTTCCATTTATTTCAGACAACAAGCCCTGAAAAATGAAGTTTTTCAAGAGAGTGGCGCTTGTTCATGGTTTTAATAAAAAACCCCTTTTCCCCCTAATCGTTAATCAATTTTGAGAGTCGACTGGTGCTTGTTCATGAGTTCCCTTTTTTCAAACTAACCTTGTCAATGGGTTGTTTCTGTTCTACAGCTCAATTTATTGCCACTTTAATTTTTTTAAAATAATAATGATACTAATTTTGCATTTTCTGCGAGACAGTGTTGGGATTGCAGAAACTCGATCTAACTAAATGTGTCCATAAGGACTATTTCTACACACTGAGTTAATTATGAACTTTTGTAGACATTATTTCTCATAGTAACTTCATTAGATTTTGTACAAAATTATAATCTTTTTTTCCCTTCATCTTTAATCATGTTTTGTCGCCCAGAGCATTTGATTGCCGTTTATTTAGTGATAATATCCAAAGCATGGTTATAATTTTTATCAGCGTTGAATGATAGGGAGTGGAATTTTATGCCATAAGTACAGATGTTGAGGTTCTACAGACTTTTGTACACATAGGATGAATAGAGAATCACAGGGATGCTAATGTATTATCATGTACGTATTCATTTTGGAAATGGCAAGTGCCCTGAAATTTGTCTCCTTTACAAATTTCACTCTCAATGTGATTATTATTTGCTAGTTAAATATAAAACTTGAATATAGTTTCATAACAGTTCATTGTAATTTTGGAACATAACTTAGTGTATATTATTTTAACTAATTAAGACAATCCTTTGGGTTGGGTATCTTTCTGTAATCATCCTACTATATAAAAATTTTATTGAGCTTAAATGTTATATTTTTGTTCAATAGGCAACCCACAAACCCGTTTATCCATCTTCAAAACTTAAGAGTGCAAACTGGGATAAATTGGAAGCTCAAGTAAAAAGAATGCGTGTTACAAGTTTTTATGTCTACGTATTATGCCTCTTTAGTCATTAATAGTACAAGCCTTGATTTCTTATTTGATGTGTCCTTTGTGTACTAGGAAAAGGAAGAGAGGCTAGATGGTGTTGCAGTTCGGAATAAGTTCTTTAAAGACATATACAAACATGCAGATGAGGACACTAGGCGAGCCACAAGCAAATCTTTTGTAAGAACTGAAATCCCTGTTTCTATCTGATATTATATATTGGGAGGGAAATCTTGATATCTTGTTGGGTCCTCTGTGACAATAACAAGAACTACTGCCGAAATTTGAGTGCATTAGATATTATATGTTGGAAGAAACTCTCTTGATCTTGTTGGGGGTCTTTTGTGATGTTTACAAGAATTGTTGTTGATGTTTGAGAGAGATAATGAAAGTCTGAGGCATGATTAAAAATCATAGAAATATCCTTGTGCTGTTGTCATCTTGATTTAAAGGGATTGTATTGCAAACAAATCTAGAGGTGTGTGAAAGGCTTGTATTTATAAAGTGGTAAAATTGGAATAAATAATACGATGCCAAAGTTTTGTCTTTTTTATTTTTTTTTAAATTATTTTTTATATTTAAGTTTCAATACAACTCTTAAGTCTTTAGTTTTTGTAATTGTTCATAAATTTCGTAAGTCACTTAAAAATCAGATATAAACTGAAAAACTTGAAGTAAGAAAAATAACAACCCTTGATTTAAGTTTCCAATTATGACTTAATGGAAAAGAATGCACTAAGAATAACCTATAAACACAATCTTTAGTGTGTGTGATTACTTTACATGTACTTTTACTTTAGTCACTTGTTGAAGTTCGTCATTATGGGTCGTTTAACCATTGTGTGACAAATATAACATTAGCTCATTGCAATAAATATAGGAACTAGTCGTATAGTGCTCTAGTCAGCCCTTATACATGTTATAGATGTAGTATATAACATTAGCTCATTGGAACAAATATTGGAACTATTCGTATAGTGCTCATTGGAACAAATATTAGATGTAGTATGAATTCTCTTAAGTTCATTCTAGGTTGGAAATGAGAAATTAAAGATAACATGTTGTTTATTTTGTTGTTGGTCCTACTTTAATTTTGTACAGAATGACTGGTGTGTGGATGATGTAGAACATCCACAACGGTCGGCCTCCTACCTTGACCTCAGGAAGACGACATTGAATGGGATGGCGTTGAAGGGGATGACGTTGAAGGGATGGAGCTCACTGTGACGATTGACTAGACCACTATGAATACATTTAGTTCTAATAATTTTGACATGCCATGTAAATGGTCATTTGTTTTGTTATGTGTTGATTGCAGAAAATATTCTAGTTACTCCTGTATGTACATTGACATTATTGTATATTTAATAATTATGAATCTTTTTTTTTTTTTCAAAGTTTGTTCTATAATGAATGATTTATAGTGATTCTAAATTGATAGAGAAAGATATTGCATTACATTTTAAAAAGCAATACATATTACAAAGTTAAATTGTTACATAATAATAACTACTAAAACGTGTTACAATAAGAAATTGAAAGTGATACAATTAAAGAGTAAAATGTTACATTTAAATTAAGAGAATTATAGAAGAAATGTTACATTTAATTAAAGAAAGTGTTACTTAAGATATTATATGTAACATTTAATAAGTGATGCATCAAAGTGTTACAAAAGTTTATTTAATGTAACACATATTTTAAGTGTTACTAAAAATTGCCAAAAGTATTACATTAGAGAAAAGGTAACAAGGGCAACTGCAACACCATAATTTTGTTACATATTGCCAAAAGTATTACATTACATTGGTGATATTAATATATTCAAAAAAAAAAACATCACCAGGTACTATATATAAAGAAATCAAGTACTGCATGATTTTTTTTTTTTTAACTTAAGTATTAGGTCTATATATATGGTAAATATATTAAGTCTGTATATGGGGAATATATCTTGCTGTAATTACATAGATTAGGGCAGATCTCACGGAGATGATTACTCCATCTTGTAACTATATCTACAGACCTCACCAGAGAAATATTAATCAATCGACATAATTCAATTGTCGTTAAGAATTGAGTTTCTCTTCATGGTATCAGAGCCAGGGTTTTTTCTTTGATCCTGCTTTCTTTTTATTTATTTATTCTTTTTTTTATCGCCAATCATGTCTTCCTCTGTTGGCGACAAAACTCCGGAGTCCTCTCAAAGGACTCCTCCCAGTAGTGGCGATGATGTTCCCAGGCATCGGACTATTTCGCCGTTCGATCTTACGGCCAGTGATAATCCTGGCAATATTATCACTCAAGTCCAATTACGGGGCGAGAGCAATTATGAAGAATGGGCTAAGGCCATGAAGACTGCATTGCGTGCCCGAAAGAAGTTTGGATTTGTCGACGGTACCATTCCTGAGCCGTCTAAATCTTCACCAAATTTGGAAGACTGGTGGACAATAAACTCGCTCATCGTGTCATGGATCCTTAATACCGTTGAACCATCTCTTCGATCCACACTCACTCACATGGAGGTGGCTCGTGATCAGTGGATAGAAATAAAAGAAAGTTTGTCCATCGTCAATGGTCCTCGAATCCAACAACTCAAGTCGGATCTTGCTAATTGCCGACAAAAGGGTTCGAGCGTCATCGCTTACTATGGTCGTCTGAAGAAAATCTGGGAGGAACTCGCTTCCTATGATGCTGTTCTGACATGTTCTTGCGGTGGCTGTTCGTGCAATATTACGGCGGCCTCCGAACGACGGCTGGAGGAAGAAAATGTGCATCAATTCTTGCTCGGCCTTGACGATGCTTTGTACGCCACTGTACGCTCCTCTCTTATCTCCCAAGATCCGTTTCCCAGGCTGAAGAAGGCATTTTCAACAATTGTTCAGGAAGAACGCCTCCGACTGATGACTCAATCTAAAGATCCCGTCGGAGAAATGAGTTTTGCTGTTCAAACTCCTATTGGATTTTCTGGGGTTCGTCCTGTTGCTGCTAGCACTGGTGACGGAGTGCTTGCATTGGCTGCCTCCTCCGTTTCTCCTAATTTCGGCCGTGGTGTTGCGTCGACTCCACCAGCTTCCGGATCAGGATCAGGACAATTTTGCACCCACTGCAACCGCGCCAATCACACCACTCAGACTTGCTACAAACTTCATGGGTTTCCCGAAGGATGGTCTCGTGGTGGTAGGCGTGGACGGGGTCGCGGGAATATTAAATCTCAGCATGGTGGTGGTGCACAGGCTGGCGGCGCTGGTGGATTTGTCCCAAATGTCGCGGCTGCAAACACCATGATGGCTTCTCCTGTTCCTGGTGCTGGTGCCGATGGCGGTCATTCTTCTTCAGTCTTACTGGAATCAATCCCGAACAGTGGACCGTCTTGCGCAATCTTTTCAATTCGGCTTCACCACCGCCTACAGCTCCTTCGACTTCTTTGTCTGGTAAGGGTGTCTTTGGTAATTGGATGTATGACTCTGGAGCTACTCGTCATATGACAGGCTCATTGGGCCATTTTGATACTGTTCGAGATATCCCAGGTGTTTTGGTTCAATTACCCAATGATCAACGTATTATCGCTACTAAAGAGGGCACCGTAGTTCTTAGCCCCAAAGTGTCGTTGATTAATGTGTTATATGTACCCGGTTTACTGTGCAATCTGATCTCGATTTTTCAATTGTTAAATGATACGGCTTCGGTTGCTTACTTTGATAAACATTTTTGTGTTATACAGGACCTCACTTCGAGGATGCCGATTGGAGCGGGTGAGCAACGAGAGGGGCTCTATTTCTTTCGCGATTGGGAGATTTCTGCAGCTATTACTACTACTATGGTTCCTTCAGTCGATTTGTGGCATCAACGGTTAGGTCATCCTTCTCCAAAGGTTCTCGACTTGATTCCTAGTGTCGGTCGTTCCAAAGATGGTAGCTTTGTCAATAAGGCCTGTGATGTTTGTTTTAGGGCCAAGCAGTCTCGAACTTCCTTTCCTATCAGTACAACTGTTTCTCATGAGCTTTTTCAACTCGTACATTGTGATTTATGGGGTCCTTATAAGATTCCTTCTTTTTCTGGTGCACGATATTTTTTAACAATTGTTGATGATTTTTCTCGAGCTACGTGGATTTACTTGTTGTTAGATAAGACGGAAGTTTCTTTAAAGTTGAAAATTTTCATTTCTATGGTTGAACGTCAATATGAAAAGACAGTTAAACGTATCCGTAGTGACAATGGGACTGAATTCATGTGTCTCTCCTCTTACTTTCATCAACTTGGTATTTTGCACGAAACTTCTTGTGTCGCGACTCCTCAAAAAAATGGCCGGGTCGAGCGTAAGCATAGGCATATTCTCAATGTGGCTAGAGCTTTACGTTTTCAAGCTAATTTGCCCATCGAGTTTTGGGGACATTGTGTACTTGCTGCTGGTTACTTGATTAATCGCACTCCTTCCAATGTCTTAAAGGGAAAATCTCCATGTGAAATATTGTATGGAAAACCCCCCTCTTTATCCCACTTGCGTGTTTTCGGGTGCCTCTGTTATTCCCATAATAAACATACTAAAGATGATAAATTTTCTCCTCGAGGTCGCAAGTGTTTATTTGTCGGGTATCCCTTTGGCCAAAAAGGTTGGCGAGTTTATGACTTAGAGTCTGGGGAATTTTTCGTCTCTCGTGATGTTAGCTTCTCCGAGTCTGAGTTTCCGTATTTTGCCAAGACGCCTCTCCCGCCTAGTTCGTCTATTGTTGACTCTCCTCCTATCATTGATGATGATGATTTAACTGCGATTGTTGGGTCTACTCCCGCCACCTCTTCTATATCGGTGGCTTCTGACTCTTCGGCTACCTCCGACTCTCCAGCCGCCTCCGACACTCCCGGTATCTCCACCTCAGATAGGGGGGGCTCTCTTCCTTCGACTCCACCAGAGGAACCTTTAGGCCGTGGTCATCGGGTTAAGGAGCGTTCTACTCGCTTGAAGGATTTTGTTGCCCACACAGTATCTTCTTCAGGCCCCTCTCTCGCTCCCTCCTCTTCATCGGTTTCCTCAGGTGCGTCCTATCCCATACACAATTACGTTTCTTGTGATTCTTTTTCATCATCCCATCGAGCATTTTTGGCAAGTGTCACTGCAGGGGTAGAACCGCGTTCTTTTAACGAAGCTGTTAAAGATGCACGGTGGCGTGCTGCTATGCAACGGGAAATTGAGGCCTTGGAACAGAGTGGTACTTGGACTATTGATTCTCTTCCACCCGGAAAATGCGCCATTGGGTGCAAATGGGTATTCAAAATTAAGTACCGCTCAGATGGCACGGTTGAGCGCTACAAGGCTCGTCTCGTCATTTTGGGCAATAATCAGATTGAGGGACTTGACTACAATGAAACCTTTGCTCCCGTGGCAAAGATGGTCACAGTCCGTACACTTCTTACAGTTGCTGCTGCAAAGGGCTGGGAACTTCATCAAATGGACGTTCACAATGCCTTTTTACATGGCGATTTGGTCGAGGAAGTATATATGCGGCTCCCTCCCGGTTTTTCTTCTCCGTCTCCCGGGACGGTATGTCGCCTTCGTCGTTCACTATATGGTCTGCGCCAAGCTCCGCGTTGTTGGTTTGCCAAGTTGGCTAGTGCTCTTTGCCAATATGGTTTTCAACAATCATCTTCTGATTACTCTTTATTCGTCCTTCGCCAAGCAACTGTCCAGCTTACTGTGTTGGTCTACGTGGATGATCTCATCATTTCGGGTAATGATCGAGTTGCTATTCAGTTTTTCAAAAACTATTTGAGTACCTGTTTTCACAAGAAAGATCTTGGCATTCTCAAATACTTTCTCGGCATTGAGGTGGCCCGCCATCCCTCTGGCATCTTTCTCTGCCAACGCAAGTATGCCCTGGATATTATTTCGGAGGTTGGTCTTCTGGGTTCCAAACCCGCCGGTTTTCCTATGGAGCAAAATCATCACCTTCCGCTAGTTACTGATGCTCCTTTGCGCAATCCTGAGGTTTATCGCCGGTTGGTTGGTCGCGTAATTTACCTTGCTGTTACGAGACCAGAGTTGTCTTATTGTGTTCATACCCTCGCTCAGTTCATGCAGAAGCCTATGCAAGCGCATTGGGAGGCTGCACTTCGGGTTGTTCGATACTTAAAGGGCAATCCTGGTCAGGGGATCTTTCTTCGGGCAGATTCCGACCTCCAGTTGACTGGTTGGTGTGATTCTGATTGGGCTAGTTGCCCGTTGACCCGTCGTTCTCTTACAGGGTGGTTTGTCCAGTTGGGCCACTCTCCTATCGCGTGGAAGACTAAGAAGCAGCAGACGGTTGCCCGTTCTTCCGCCGAAGCAGAATATCGTTCTATGGCATCTACAGTCTGTGAAGTGAAATGGTTGCGGGGTTTGTTACATTTTCTTGGTGTTCCGCATCCTCAGCCTATTCGGCTCTTCTGTGATAGTCAGGCTGCTCTCCATATCGCAGCTAATCCCGTCTTCCACGAGCGGACGAAGCATATCGAGGTTGACTGCCACTTCGTCCGCGATGAGGTTCTCAAGGGAACCATTCTACCCAGTTATGTGTCCACTCATGTCCAGCTTGCCGACATCTTCACTAAAGCATTGGGAAAGCCTAAGTTTGATTACTTTCTTGACAAGTTGGGCATTCGGAATCCTCATGCTCCAACTTGAGGGGGGTATTAGGTCTATATATATGGTAAATATATTAAGTCTGTATATGGGGAATATATCTTGCTGTAATTACATAGATTAGGGCAGATCTCACGGAGATGATTACTCCATCTTGTAACTATATCTACAGACCTCACCAGAGAAATATTAATCAATCGACATAATTCAATTGTCGTTAAGAATTGAGTTTCTCTTCATTAAGGCACTTTTGAAAGAAATGGGTACTCCAGTGAATAAAAACATACATTTTTTCTTTAGTTTACAGGTATTGAGTCAAAATTTTAATTATAACTTTAAAAATGACTATTTGTTTTGGCCTTATTATTTAACTATGGAGTGGAATGGAAAAACTTGTGTAAGGATTAAGTGTGCAAAATCTTGTTCGTGCACCGAATAGCTCGGTTCGGTACAGTTTTTCAATTTCGGCTCGATTTTGCTTCGCCCTACATGTAAATTAAAGAAAAAAGATTGCAATTTATTTGATTTTGACTGCTTATTAAATATTTTTTGGGGTTAATTGCTAAATAAACCTTAATCTTTTTACGTTTGGCACTTTTATCTCAATCTTTGGGTAATTGCAATATAATCTCGACTTCAATTTACTTATTGCAAATTTGGGTGCAGAGTGATTGATTTTAGGGATTAGTTGATCGATTTTATGTCCAAGTCTTCTATTGACACGAGTTTTTATGTCATCCACGTAGTAAGTTGACAATTTCCACGTATTCAACGTACATCCACGCACAAAGCCGGAAATTCCACGCCAATGTAAGCTACCGGTGATGAGTATCCTCCTAGATCTGGAGTGAACCGGTAAATATGAGATCCGATCTATCCGAACCGCCTTCAAATCGACTAGTTTTTTTAAGGTCCAATCAGTTTTAGGTTCGACTTGCAATAAGTAAATTGAGGTCGAGATTATATTGTAATTATCTAAAAATTAGAATAAAATTGTCAAAAACAAAAAAGTTAAAGTTTATTCAGCAGTTAACCTATTTTTTTTTTTTTTACCAGCATTCATCTATCTTTGCGCAGCTTGTGTCCAGCCTCCTAACAGGCGGCGTCGCCTCCCACTCCGTCAAATCAAGCGGGTAAGTCTATTATCCTCTATTTTTGAAAAAAAAAATAAAAAAATAAATAAATAAAATTATGCGATTCTCTTGTCATTACAATTACCTTGGAATTATCTATTGCTATGATTATTGTTTCAATTGCTTTTAGAACAAACCATGTGAATTCTAGGTTTTGATGACTAAAATTGTTGTCTAGGATTGTAAGTTTCGACTGAAGTTGATTGATATAAACTTGGGATATCGGTTAAGTTTAGTGTTTGATTCGTTTAATAATTGTTTGTGGACAGTGGTGTTTCTCCCTCCTTAATGTTGTTTTGTTATAACCTTATTTTGTTTCTCAAGAAGCGTGGTGTTCTATTGATGCATCAGAATCATCATTATCGAGTTAGCAACTGTAATGTTTTTGCTTGTTGTCAGTTTCATCCCCGAAAATAACTCTTCTTGATATGTATATAGTAGGATTCAAGAATGGGTGATGTGTCGAGCGGAAAACATAAAAGAAAAGGCGAAGATAATTATTGCAAGACTACCAACAAGAAGTGGACACCAGAAGAGGATATGGCCCTGATCGCATCACTTGCCGAGTTATGCGATTCCGGGTGGAAAAGGAAAAATGGAATCTTTAAGAATGGATACACAGCCGCACTGGAGAGGAAACTGAAATTGAAGCTTCCGGGCTGCAATATCAAGGCCAGCCCACACATCGAGTCTAGGCTGAAATTGCTTAGGAGGCAGTATGAAGCCATAAGAGAAATGCAAGGTGCAGACGGCATTCAATGGGTCGAGCAGGACAACATGGTTCTATGCAGGGATGACAAAGTATGGGAGGATTGGATTCAGGTTTATGTTATTTTTAGTTCTAAACTTACAAATATTCACATTATTTGTTTCTATTTAAGAAAAAAAAAATGAAATATTGGTGAAACAAAATAGATTGCATCATGACTCTTGATACTTCGAAATGGCTATACTCATGTTGGTTGATAATCCCCCTTTTTTTTTTTGTTCTGTTTTTTTTTTTTCTTTCAATGTTATCTTTTAATGATTTACAGGCTCATGCTGATGCAAGGGGGCTAAGGAATAAGCAGTTCCCTTACTACAATGATCTACATCTTTTATTTGGAAAACGGGGCACAACGGACGGCATTAACGACGAAGCTGATGGTGATAAAGTATTTAATGACGATGACAGCAACGTTGTTACGGACCTGTTGATGGTGGACCACAGTTTGGAAGAAGATGACCTACAAAACTATGACTCGAATGCAATGGTCAATAATAACGGTACTGCTGTTAAGTGTGCTGATAGCTTGATCAAACACTATAAAAAGAGAAGAAGGCAGATTGATGTAATACGAAATGTGTCAAACTGCAATCATTTGCCTGATCCAGTGGAAGAAAGTCATCCATCAGAGGATTCAAATTCAACCAGGACTAACAATAATAACAATATTAATAATAATAATAGAATAAATGAGGAGAATCTTTCGGCAGATGACATTATTAGGGCTCAAATCCAAATTCGTGGTTCAACTATTAGAGCCTCTGACAAGAAGAATTGTAAACAAGAAGGTGGATCGTCCGAACTGGACTCGCTGGCGAAGATATTTGGGACGTTTCTTGAAAAATATGACAAGCATCTTTCTTTACTGGGACAAATAGTTGGAAGGGAAAGGGCTGCAGAAAATATGGCCGCTGAGAGAAGAGTCAAGCTAAATGGGGAATTGAAAAAATTGCCTAATCTTAACTTGCAAGCCAGACTAAGGGCAGCGTCTTTGATGGTGAATGATTCGGCAAGGCTCGACCTCTTTTACAGTCTCTCGGAAGAGGAGAAAAATGAATGGGTATCGATGTTACTCAATGGACAAATATGATGATGGTCGTGAAATAAATGAGATTTATATCTGTTGTTTTCTTCTGAGGTAGCTGATAAAGCATCGAGGAAAACTACGTACTTTGATCTCAAACGATCGGCCTGTAATAGAATAGATACTAGAATAATTATAGTTGTCCGGAAAGTTGGGAAGAAAGTATCAGATTGGAATAGGTGGTGGTTACACAATGTGATATCCATTTGGGTCATATGGTATGAGATCTTCATGCTAGTACATCCGTTTTGGTTTGTCTGAACATTCTATTCTGTCAACCGAACGCATAAATCGCAGCATGGTTGTGAGTATTTGCTATTTGATCCTCGCCGTGGTAGAGTAGAAATCTGCCCAAGTACATTATTTTTAATCTAATCTTTTTTCTGCTATTCTATAGCATCTCTGCCTCATCCAATCTAGAGGATGTGGCTTTGCTGTAGGTGAAACATATTCGATATGCATATATGTTTTAAAGAGCCTCAAAATCCTTGAATTGATTAAGATCAGCGGTGCTTGTCCTCAGCAATAAAAGACCCTTGGTGGGCCACGTATCAAAATTTGAAACCTTGAAAAATACTGCCTATTTATGTTCTGTCAATGTCATTCTGAAGTTTGCTGTGGCCCCAATTGACATTTCTGATCTTGCAGGTATAGTTTGATGTCCTTTATTATGCTGAGCGTCTCATTCCGGTTGTTCAAAAGCCGTCATATTTGATGGTATTATGATCTTCATGCCCAGGCTTGAAATCATCATAACATCGATAAATGTGTGCACACCATTGTGGTTTAGGGGCGGTGGTCCCCCAGTTGGGCCATGTCTCCAAGTCCGAGCCCGAGCTACTGTTGCAGTGGTCGAACTGGCCGTTATGGTTAGTGTATGTCTCAGGCCTTGTGTGCATGCTTGGGCCTGAAAATGTGGTGTTGCACTGGTAATCAATGCATGCTGTGGTAGTCTTCCTCCATTCTGGTGCAGTGGTATTGTGTGTAGCCTTTGGCAGGGTACATTTGCAGTTTGTTAAGATCTTTTTTTTTTTTTTATCATTTTATAATTTTAATAATTATCAACTCTTATATGAGGTCTTTTTTTTTTTTTNNTTTTTTTTTTTTTTTTTTTTGGCCCACATTAGAAACTATATATATAGCAAGTCGAATACAGACTAGACAACGGCTAAAAGCCGAAATCAACCAACAACCGAAACTAGTTGGGAGGCCTACAATAGAGCAACCTAGATCCAATTAAAATCGAACAACCCAAAGAAACTCCCAAAGGTAGAAACACTCTCAAAAGGAGAACAAAACTCCTACACGTGGAGACAAAACAACTCCCACAAGGGGAGACAAAACGACTCCATCTGACTACGAGACCTAGAACGAGTTTGTAGTATATTAACTTTTGTATGGCTCGTACGACGCATAAGCTTCAGTTTTTAGTTTTTATTTCTTTCGCCATGAATTTGGGTTAAAAGGAATCTAAGTGACAACTGAAGAAGTGAAAGTATCACATTCCCCATAAAAGAAACAAATATGCGTAATTTAAGCATTTTACCATATTTATAACACATTTACATTACACATGACAATTGTTTATATATGGCATAGCATTGTCAAAAATAGGTCATGACTTTAATTTGATGCCATGGTTGAAAACACATTCTCGTGTTGATATCGTAATCCCATAGCCCGGATAACACTTGCCTTTGAAGCTTCTTTTGTCGTCCGCTAATCCAATTGTTATGGATAACGAGACAGCCGATTTCCATACATGCTTTCCTCGTGTCTTTCTTCTCCCACAAATCTAAGTATGCTCCGTTCGGGAACAGATTTCTATTCAAGAAGTGAACAACCAAACCTGTCTTTGGTTCCAGGCATCGGTCGTCGCCTAACCTGTAAGACCCACTCTCTCCGCATAATGTGTCGTAGAAGCTCGGTTGTTCGGATAGGTTTGAATCTGCCGCGTGCTGCACCACCCTATCCAGTGCGGCTATAGTTGTGTTGTCCGAATGTGCATAGTAGAAACCAGAGTTTAGTCGTCGAGGTAAGTTTATTGGCCCTACCAAAATATATACAGAAACAATTAGAGAGAGAGAGAGAGAGAGAGAGAGAGAGAGAGAGAGAGAGAGAGAGAGAGAGAGAGAGAGAGAGTTAATAACTTTGTATTGGTTTTCAGTTTTGCACATATAATATATCAAATTAACTATCTACACACACTTTCGATTTGATATCCATATTGGATATATAAAATAAACGAATAATTTTTTCTTTTATTATAAACTTAAATTATCTATTAATACTTATTAAAAAATTAACAAGATTATACATCAATTAAAAAAGTTATCTATAACTTCATTACATTTGAACTAGAAAAAATTATTGTACTATAAGGCGAACAAATCGTATAGGGGAAAAGTTACATTTTAAATATAAATAATAATGTAATTTCTAAAAAGTATCTAAAATGCAAATAACAGAAATTTCTATCTTACATTTTTTAATAAAGCTGTATATCTATTAAAAAGTTATCTATAATAAATTCATTAAATATGAATTTGAAATATAAACAAATCTTAAAAGTAAAATGTCTCTTTATAAAAAATAAATAATAATGCAATTTTTTAAAAAAGTATTTGAAATTTAAATAAAAACAGCTCTTCATTTGCCTTTTTTTTTCTTATGAAATATTTATATAATTTTTTTAACTATCTCCCGTGTAATCACGGGTGGGGTGTTGTACGAGTCAACTATTAATTCGTCGTAAAGACAGTGAAATGAGTCTAAACAGAGAGGCTATCAAATCAAGAGCACCCAAAAATTGGTAGTCAGAGGAGTATATAATACCTGTCAAATTGTATTCATCCGACTGTGCCACGAGAACTGCGGGACCAAAGGAACTAAGATAGCTCAATGGATTCTTGAACCAATACACATCCACATCACTCAGTAGCACATTATACCCAAGCTTTAGTATTTGCAGAACCACTCTCGATTTAACTTTAGTTACTTTCTGGAAGCACACCGTTCCAAAATGGCAGTCATCAAAGCTGATGTCTGTTGGACGATATGCGCACTGGACAACTGGCACACCCTACCAATAAGAAAATATGAGCACATTAGGGGACAGCTTGAAGTTAGATCAATTGTACTCAGAAAAACAAGTCCTATGTTTTTTAATTACCAACTGAGGTCAAAGAAAAAAATCACCTGCAAGATCGAGAAATTGTAAATATCATCATCAAGTGCACAAACCAAAAAATTGAATACTCTAAGGTGGCGTAGCCTGCAGACCCAGCTCATGAGCATATCCTTGTAACTATATCCGGCAACTCCAAGTACAATCGTTTTGTTCTCGTCAGCCTGCATCGACAGTAGAGATTCTAAGGAAAACGGAGGCGAAACTGCTAACGGCACTCCTGAAGCCTCTTCTAAAGAGCACCCTTCGAGCCCTTGAAGAGATTCCAAGGCATCAACACAGTCGAGTACATTCTTTTGTTTAAAGGATAAAGAGGCAGTGCCCCTGCCCAGAGGATACACGGTGTTTTGGTAAGTGTTGACGAGCAGAAAGTTGCGGCCACAGTTGAAAGATTTGAACAAGTTAGAATAGTTGGCACGCCGGAAAGAAAACGACCCGTAAAGCCTTCCTAGAAGGGAATTTCCAAGATTTTCCCAACTCGTGAATTCGGATTCGACATGATCATTTTGGTCCGCACCATTTATGTAGAAACTAGAAATGGTCAAAGTCGCATCAATTACGAGGCGATAGTCAGAGATCAAGGCTTCAGTTAAGATCCAATGGTTGTGAAGTCCCTTTCCGTACAAAAAGGGGGGAAGGATGCCCTTGTGAATAGGCGTATCTCCATTGTTCCATGCAATAAGCATCCTGTCTTGACATGGGTAACCAAAAGGTTTACGAGAAAGAAATTCCTGCAACTGATGCGAAAGGAGAATTAGAATACATAATCACAAGATTAGCTTTCAACTCAGCCTTAAAAAAATGTTACCTTTCAAAATTATAGTTAGCTGGCACCCTCTTACGGTTTTAATAGTTACATCAACTGCACTACCCCAAGGCTATTTGCAAAATAGAAATGGATAAAGAATATAGTAGTTATATTTTCCTTCTTTTTTGGGTAGTTATTCAGCAGCTAAGATAAGAATACAAATCTAATTCTGGCATACCATTTGTGTTCTGAGAGGTCCACCATCATCTGCCAATCGACGTTTCCCATCAGGATCTAATTGAAAGTGGAAACTGGAAATGTTTCGTGATGAAGCTACAAGGAGCCAATCTTCATCAAGCTTGTGAGCATACTTCAAGGTGGTTAAAAAGTTCGACAAGAGAATGGTCTCGGGATCAATCAAGACAGATATTTCCGATGATGATGCCAGCGATCTCGCAACCATTGAATGGAAAAACGGGGTACCCAGGAACCTAGTAAACCAATGACATTTTAACTAAACTAGCCTTTTACCTAGATAATAATCTCAATTCATTCAATATGGATATCATCCAAAACAAAAATTTCGAAATTTCCCAACCATACACAACCGAAACTCGTTAACATGCTAGAAGTTACAAGGACAAGACGAAAATAAGTCGGTAACAGCCATCTAATAATTTAAGATAATACTCACGTGAAATCGATGTTGTTCTCGACTGCGACCCGCGAACCAAATGAATCGGCAAAGGACAGAACAGATGGGTCTTGGCTGAACAGAGCAACATTTATATTTTTGGACAATCCAAGCCATGACCTTACTGCAAGAGCCTGTGTCTCCCCAATCAACCCCACAAAAGGCTTAGGAGCAGTAAATAGAGTGGTCTTGGGGAAACTTATATCGACAAAATCAGCAGCAAAGGGACCTAGTTTCTTTGTAGTGATCTCATCTTTCAGAACAGAAGGCAGCTTTTGAGTGCCGTAGAAGGATACACCAATCAAGAAAGCCCCACATATCCAAACGAACAATAACCCACTCTGCAGAATCTACAAAACAAACTAAAATTAAAATTTTGAAGGTCAACTGAAAAATGATACTCAAAAATGGAATCCAAGAATTTTGAAAAAAATAAAAAATAAAAAAAAAATTATAATTTACTTCACCTTCTTGTTATGGAGAGAGGATAAGCGAAACCAATAGCTCGATTCAGTCATTTCTAATCATACGAATGAAAAAAAAGGGCTTCAAAAAGAGTGGAAATGCAACAACCATCTGCAGGCTAATAGGTTTTCCGGCGGCGGCCAACTAGGGTTCCTCGTACGCAGACATTGATCCAGTTGAAATTAAGTTGACAAAATTACTCAATTTGTTGAAGGGTTTACATGTTATTGTTTCTTCCCTTCTTCTTCAGCCTTGCGTCCCGTGAGTATTCTGTTTTCAGTCGTCGCCCTTCTCTGCTTTCCGTTCTTGTGTGTTTGTTTTCCTTGTGCAGGTGCTTCCATTCTCTCTAGTCTCTACTAGACCACCTCAAGTCGGGCTTTTCTTCATCGAGGCTGAAACATCATTTTAAGCTGGTTCCTTTCAATTAGCTGAAAAACAAGTTGGTTTAATGATGTCCCGAGTTCAAAAGGATCGTATAATGTTAAACCCGTCGGGTGGATTAAATTTCGATACAATAATATTACATTGAACGTTGCTAGTTTCGGACCAAAAAGTCGATTATTTTAATTATCAGTGATTAAATTAATTGGCGAACCGTTTATCTTAAACATGGGAGGTAATTCGACTAATTTACATGTGGATTTCAAACTCGTAATTTAGGAATTAAATTGAGAGAATTCAATAATACTGCTTTAGTGGAATGACTGCAATATTAATATTTTGGCTAAGTAGGCTTGACCCACAGTTAGGCCCAAATATGATAAACCCAATTTAATGTCTCCTTAGAGCATTTCCAATGGGCCTTCCAATTGTAGAAATGTGGAAGAATTTCAATAAAAAAAAAAAAAAATCTCCAACCCTCAATGTGTAGCTGCTAATCAGAATGACGTGGTTGGAGAGAGAATGAATAAAATCTAGCACTCCTTCTACATTTAGAACTCTTGGTAGACATGCTGAGTATTCTTCCCATTAACTTTTTTTTTAAAAAAAATTAAAATAGCAAATTTGTTAAGAAAAAGAGGCGTAACTGTTGGAAGTTAATTTTTTCAGATTTGTTAGTTTTTTTTTTTTT